AAAAAAAAAAAGAAAACCTCCAAAACCACGAGCAGTGTTGTTATCAGTGACCTATGATTCCACAATCACAATGTAGAATCTTTCAAGTTATATAGTAGTTGCATTTCTGGAAATTTTAGTATTTATTAAAGCTGTGTTAAAAAAAAAAGGTTCTAGGCCCAAGTAATTATAAATATTGAAATATTATAGGTATTTTCACCTGCAAGAATGTCTGGCTAGACATTGAAAAGTTGTACAGGATGAGGGAAAGTTTTTTATTATGTAGGACTCATCTCATTTGGCACCCCTCCCATAATGCAGATATCAATATCCAGTAAACTTCTATGATAACCATAAAATTATCCGCACAGATTTCCAAAGCATGCATAGTAGGGAAGTAAAGCACCCATTTAAAGTTCGTATTAAATGTTTCTGATTTTTGGCATGTAGCTTCAACTGCTTTAATTACCTTATTTCATCAATTCTAAAGCTCACTCTTATTTTTCTCATTTTAACATCACTAAAATTGTCTTATAATTGATGTGACAGGAAAGTATTGTGCTATTTAATTGGCATCATTTTCTGATGCATAAAATAATGGTGCATCTTAAGATATGATGTCTTAGATTTGATAAAATGCAATACACTTATACTTAGGGCTTAAATTTTTTATTTCTGTAAGTGAAAATGGGTACAAATAATGGATTGGAGAGACATTGTGTAAAAACCAATACGTGAGGCTTCATGATTGAAAGGTGAAAGCAGCTGTGCAAGTGGAGGTTTTGTTTTGTTTTTGTTTTGTTTTCATGGTACACCTGAGAATGAGTGGTATGGAAATGAAATTCTCATCGGGCACGGTGGCTCACGCCTGTAGTCCCAACACTTTGGGAGGCCGAAGCGGGCAGATCACTTGAGGCCAGTAGTCAAGACCAGCCTGGCCAACGTGGTGAAACCCCATCTCTACTGAAAATACAAAAAATTAGCCAGGCATGGTGGCACATGCCTGTAGACCCAGCTACTTGGGAGGCTGAGGTGGGAGAATCACTTGCACCTGGGAGGCAGAGGTTGCAATGAGCTGACATTGAGCCACTGCACTCCAACCTAGGCAACAGAGCAAGACCCTGTCTCAAAAGAAAAAAAGAAAGACAGAAAATGAAATTAACTCCTTTTCAGATGGCTTACATATGAAGGAACGGTTACACCCAGATGTTGTCAGTGTATAGGTGCATGACCAAAAAAACTAAAGTGTGTTCAACAGGCTTTTCTCTGATCTGTGGGTACAGGTTCTGTGACCATCATTTATGAAAAGTGTGGATTAATTAAAGCACAGAGTGACTAAAGGCAAGGTTTTATGCAGAAAGTGTTTTTCAGCCTCAGAATCCCAGGTGTAGAATGTACTTCTGAGAAGCACAGCCTTGAGTTGAAGACTCAGAACAACCCATCCCTACTATCAGAAACAACTCAAAACAGGATTTACTGGCTATGATCTTTATGAGAGATAATGGCTAAGAGACAAAATAATCACTTTCAGTTGTTTTTGGCCTTTTTTGAAGGGAATCTAATTTGATGGAGGAAACATTAAGATTGAACACTCAAAAAGACTCTAGTCTGCTGAGGATGCCTACCATCAAAGTGTTGTCAGAGATAAGCAGTATCCTTGGATAACACATCTTTCCATTTCCTACCACTTCTATAGTTCAGTGTGGAATAGGTCAGGACAGAGCACGGTAATCCCAAGCAGGCCTAATCCTGGGAAGAAATCCCTCATATCCACAGTGGCAGGTGGAGAATGGACTGTCAGTACTAGTAGATGATAGTTTACTGACAGAGAAATCTTATCTCTGAATATCAGAATCTTAGAGGAAAGTTGTTGTCTTATAAACAATAATTTTTATTTTTATTTCTTTTTATTTATTTATTTATTTTATTTTGTTTTATGAGACAGAGTCTCACTCTGTTGCCTGGGCTAGAGTGCAGTGGCGTGATCTCAGCTCCCTGCATCCTCCGCCTCCCCGGTTCAAGCAGTTCTCCTGCCTCAGCCTCCCAAGTAGCTGGGATTACAAGCATCCGCCACTATGCCCAGCTTATTTTTTGTATTTTTAGTTGAGGCGGGGTTTCATCATGTTGGCCAGGCTGGTCTCAAACTCCTGACCTTGTGATTCTCCCGCCTCGGCCTCCCAAAGTGCTGGGATTACAGGCGTGAGCCACTGCGCCCAGCCAGCAATAATTTTTAAAGTAGTGTTAAATTTTCAGAACAATTATTATAAAAAGTGGAAAGAAGTGAGTTCTCACATGCAAAATTATTTAATGAGATTGGGTAACTCACCTAGGTTAGTGACCTTTGTTCTTATGAGTAAAGTGTAGATTAATATCTTGTCTTATATATTTCAGACAGATGCCTTGGGGAAACAGTCTGTGAAGAGAGGATTCACTAAGGACAAGGTAGGTTTCTAATTAAACAGAGGAAAAAAAGCTTGAAGTCATATGGTACATCTAAAACAAGAGGCTGCAAATTTGAACATAAGTACTGTGGTTCAATTATTTTGTGTAAGGTGATTTTCCATCTGTAAAACTGAGAAATATTTCTATGAACTTTTGTGTCCTTGACCATGACCCCTAGCATAGCAGTTTAATTAAAAATAATAACCAAACTTTCTCCTCTTACCAGCTGCAAAGTGCCGCAGGACTCATTGGTAAGGGTGAAGCATTTGGGAAGTACATGGCAACCTAATAGAAACTCTTCAGGAACAGAACTGTGAAAACCTGTCTAGGCTTGGGGGCTCACTTTCTCTGAACATGTGGGTTTTCTTATACTTATTTTCTGCTTTTGGAAATCTGTTTCACTGTCTTGATGTGTTTGCCACAGGCTTAGAGATAAGAGTTAAGCTGTTTTGTTTTGTTTTGTTTTAATTATGTGTTAATTGGTTTTTATTTTCTCTTTGAAGACTCTCAGTTCAATCTTTAACATTGAGATGGTAAAAGAAAAGACTACAGAAGAAATAAAACAGGTAATGAATGAAAATGGGCTGACATGCTCTATGAAAATGTGAATTCTGTGAACCAAATCTGAGAGTACATCTTCTGACACCTCTTTCTAGCCATAATGAAAGGTGATAATAAAAGGCAAAAGTGATGAATTACTTGAAGAACAATGTCATAAGAAAACTTGTCTTCTTTGTAACTCTTATATGTCTAATCAACTTGTATTTCTACTTTCTTTTTCCTTCCTATAATCCACATCTCCTGTAACCCTCATCAGTACTTTATACCTGGATTACTGCACTACCTTTCCAAATAGGTTTCCCTGCTCCTATTTTTTCCACTCCGCCCATAATATGCTCATCAACTGAGTCCTCTGAAACTTCTTCTTTCATTATGGAGAAGTATAGTGTATTGGTTTAAAAATACAGACTCTAGAACCAAGCTGCTGGTTTTAAGTCCTAGCTCTGCCACTTACTAGCTATAGGACTTGGACAAGTTAACTTATCTGGGCCCTAGTTTCCCTGTTTAATTAAAGTGGAGCAAATAATAGTACTTACCTCATAGAGTTATTTGGATAATTAAGTGAGTTAACATTTTTTATCACTTAGAACAGTCCCTGGCACAGAGTAAGTGCTATATTTATGTTTTTAAATAAGTGGGAAAAAAATATATTAGGAACCTGGTCACAAATGTTCAATGACTTCCTGTATTCCTTTTCTTGGCATTCATAGCTCTCCATTATCAAAGGACTTTCCGCAGGAAGCTTCCTAAACACTTTCCTTCAAAGCACTCAAGAGCTATCCTGCCTGTTTGGTCATTTATATTTTTATACCTGTGATTCTTTTCTCTCTAATAAGCTATTTTTTTCCAGCATTCCTTATAGTTCCATGAATTATATATTAGGTAGATTGAAAGGATCAAAAGAATAATAAAAGCAGCATACTCTGTATCAGGTACAATGCCTAATGCTTCATATGCATTATTTCATTAAATTCTTTTAACCACCCCGTGAAGTGGGTGCCATTATTCCCAGTTTACAATTGAGGAAACTGTGACTTAAAGAGATTATGTAACTTAGTCAGTGGTAGAGCTGAGACTCAAACCCATGTCTGTTTGACTCTGCATCATATTCCCAGAACTGGAAGTTGTGCTAGTTACCATGGGTTTCCTTTGGATGCTGTATCATTTATTTTAGCACACATTTAATGCATACCAATCAAATGTCAGACTTTGTGCCAGATACAGAGATAAATGAGAGAATCCTCATCCCCAAGGAGTTTTAGCCTCCACAAAACGGATCAGATCAGCACAGGGTTCTTTCTGTTAATAGAGGCATATGCAAAGTGTCAGGGAGAACTCAGGCTGTGCCTTTGGGAAGAAGTGCCAAAGGAACATGGACACTTTAGGGGAAAATTAAATAAAAGTAATCAGAATATGGGCTGGGCACAGTGGCTCACGCCTGTAATCCCAGCACTTTTGGAGGCCGAGGCGGGTGGATCATGAGGTCAGGAGATTGAGACCATCCTGGCTAACACAGTGAAACCCCGTCTCTACAAAAAATTAGCCGGGCATGGTGGCAGGTGCCTGTAGTCCCAGTTACTCAGGAGGCTGAGGCAGGAGAATGGCATGAACCCGGGAGGCGGAGCTTGCAGTGAGCCAAGATTGCACCATTGCACTCCAACCTGGGCGACAGAGTAAGACTCTGTTTCAAAAAATAAATAAATAAATAAATAATCAGAATATGCTGTCCTTAAAATGAGAAGACAGTGTTTTGACATGCAAAAAAAGAAAAGGTAAAGCAACCTTATGCCACATTGAAAGTAGTTTCCATAGGTCCTAGGAGTTAATAGTCCTTTTGTGCTCTGTGTTGATTAGATGGATCACACTTTGATTAGTATCTTCCACTGGGGCCCCATATTTTAACAGAAATGTTGACCAAAGCAGACCAACTCTAAAGGAAGTTGACCCATTCTTCAACACTAGCTCACTGTGGTGTCACCTTGGTTATGATACCCTCCTCTACTTCTATGCCTTTGTTAGTGTTGTCATTCTCTGCTTCAAATGTGTCTCTTACCTCCTTCTCCTGCCTTACCTGTTATCTTCCCAGCATCCTTATTTCCCTACTAACTCCTAATCATTCTTCAGGATACAGTTCAAGTGTCCCTTCCTCTGGCACTTTTCCCTGCCCTGGGTTAAGTGCCTCTTTTATATTACATATTTCTTATTATGTCACAATCATCTGTCATTCAACCAACATTTTTGAGTACTTTTTGGGTTGCAAGGCATTGGTGACAACACAGCAGATACCTGCCTACAGGGGGCTTGCAAACTAGTGAGGGAAATAGATCCAGATGCAAATGATCTTATTATGAAGTAGCATATCCTAGACATCTTAAGAGAGGTATAAAATATGAAAGCAAGGGGGAGGAAATAAATAAAATAGAAAAGCAACTCATAGGAAAACTTCTGACTGTAATATCAAGGGAGACTACATGGAAGAAGAAGCATATAGGCTCAGCTTCAGAGGACAGGAAGAATTTGGGAGGTCAGAGGTAGGAAAGGAAGGCTTTCTAGTCAGAGCCAATAACATGTAAAAAGGCATGGGAAGGCAAAAAAAAAATGGTAGTAAAAAATAAGAATACAGACCATCTATATGATGTTAATGGTAAATAATAAAAAGATACAATATTGCATATATGCTACATCTATGTATACTGTAAAAGAAAAATTCTTAAGACATACTGGAAAGAAAATAACAGTGGTCTTTGTTAGGGTGGTACGACTATGGGCATTTTTTCCTTTTCCCTATTTTCTAATTTTCAAATTTTATTATATAATTTTTTTATTCCCTACTTTTTGGTATTTGCATCATGAAGGTCAACTGTACCTTCCTTGTTCTTTAGTGCCAAGCAGAGGTAGGACTTCTGATTGGTGCATACCATAGATCCAACAGACCTTATCTCTTCCACATGTAGAAGACTTTCTGGAAGCAGGATTTTAAGAGCTGCCTGTAACATGCCAATAATATCTAACATGGTTTTGCTGTGTCCCCACCCAAATCTCATCTTGAATTGTAGTTCCCATAATCCCCACATGTCATGGGAGGGACTCAGTGGGAGGTAATTGAATCATAGGGGCAGTTACCTCCATGCTGTTCCCATGATAGTGAGTTCTCATGAGATCTGATGGTTTTATAGAGGGCCTTTCCCCCTTTTGCTCCTTCTTCTTCCTGTCACCATGTGAAGGACGCGTTTGCTTCTCCTTCCGCCATGATTGTAAGATTCTTGAGGCCTTCCCAGCCCTGTGTAACGTGAGTCAATTAAACCTCTTTCCATTATAAATTACCCAGTCTCTGGATTAAGAAAATGTGGCACATTTACACCATGGAATATTATGCAATCATAAGAAAGGATGAGTTCATGTCCTTTGCAGGGACATGGATGAAGCTGGAAACCATCGTTCTCAGCAAACTATCACAAGGACAGAAAACCAAACACCACATGTTCTCACTCATAAGTGGGAGTTGAACAATGAAAACACATGGACAGAGTGGGGAACATCACACACTGGGGCCTGTCGCGGGGTGGAGGGTTGGGAGAGGGATAGCACTGGGAGAAATACCTAATGTAAATGACAAGTTGATGGGTTCAGCAAACCACCATGGCACATGTATACCTGTGTAACAAACCTGCACGTTGTGCACATGTACCCTAGAACTTAAAGTATAATAATAAAAATGATAATAAATAAATTGCCCAATCTCGGGTATATCTTTATTAGCAGTGTGAGAATGGACTAATACAATATCTAACAAAAGCTAACATTATTTGTCGTGTTTATTCTGTGACAGGTGCTGAGCTAAGCACAGACCTACATTATTTCAGCTAGTCGTGACAATTGTGTGAGGTTATTATTGCTATTTTATTGATGTTATTTAGGGAGTTTTCAGTAATTTGCCCAAGGTAGTATAGCTAGTAAATGACTGGAGCTGAGATTCACATCCAGGTCTGCCTGACTCTGAACCCTGAGCCCCAGTCCTGACTCTCTGGGAAGGCTCACAGTTGGCTGGGGAAGTGTGGGTTTGGGAAGGAAATAAAAATGTGAAAAAAAAGAAGTTGTCTATCACACACAACTTATTAAGAGGAATGATTTTTAAAGTCATAGAATCAGTTTCTCTGTCAGGAATTTGTTATTAAGAGTTACAGTTTAATCATCTATAAGAGTGGGTTGTATTAAATCTTTTTTGTAATGTGCTAGTAATGAAAGCGTTACATTGGGTTTTTCCTCTCTGTTATCAAATAGCATATTCCTCTGAACAATGAAAGCTGTCACCATTTCTTGGCACATGTTGAAAAGATTACCCACATGTCACAGACACCCCTCTCTTTTCTGTACAGATTTGGCAGCAATATTTTGCAGCAAAAGATACAGTCTACGCAGTTATTCCTGTAAGTAGTTTGGAGGGGGAAATGAAAGTGTTACAACATGAAAGTCAGTTCTCTAACCTTAGCAGGCAGTTGCCTTTACTTTTCCTATGTTTATTGCCTCTTGAGAAGCTGCATTGTACAGCCCTGAGAGTTTTTATTATGCCCTGAGCACCAGAGATTGGAAGCTCCATATGGTATATTTATGGCTCTTGTTTTCCTTCTTTCTACTTTAGAAATGTCTCTGAGTCAAGTCTCTGACAAGGGAGCGTGGTATAAGTTCATGTTGCTGAGTAATTTCCAGATGTCTTTTTTTTCTTACTGATGTTTTCCAACCAAGCTGTTGGAATTTAAGACAGGGCCTGTAGCATAGCTTTTTTCCCTTCTTGCCTATAAGCGACCTATGCCTGAGCTGAGTTGGAGCCTCTTCCTAGTCTTTCTCTGGCGAATATTCCACTTAGCAAGTGGCATTTTCTTGGTCTTTCCCTTCTTGAAATTATTCTTAGAGATGGTCACCATCTACTGCTTGACCATTAAGGTCTGTGACAGAGAAGGGATGCTGCTGGCTTCTCTGGTTTAATGTTTTGCTGGCCTCCACTATAATAAAGCATTTGAAGTAATGGATTATCAGCTAGTTCTTTAATTGCTTTTCCCTGAAGGAGGGGTGGGGGCTTAGGTTAAGTTTCTATCAAGCACACAAAGGTATACAGAGATTATATGAGTAAATGTAAGATTAAGGAGGAAAACATATAGATGGAGGATAAAGCCAGGCCTTTTGGTAGTTATGATGGTATCACTATCTTTTTTTTTAATCTCTCATATATGTATACCCTTATGCTACATGAATTCAACAGCCAGAAGAAGAGTCTTCTCTTTTGTGATGTTTTAGATCTCTGATACTGACTCATTGTTTGAACAGGCCTTCTCAGCTCTCCCTCAAACTGACTTGGTGACTTGATGTCTCTGACACTTGTTAAAGTTCCCTGGAGCATTTGGAGCATTGGTGCACCTAGTCTTTACACATAATTCTGACAATGAACAGCAAAACAGACGTCTGGTTTTTCCTGTCTTTCTGTCATAAGAGTGATTTGAAAATAATGACACTTAAAAGACTGTTTTAGTTGTATTATAATTCTAGAATTCAGTCTTGATGAATTTACATGTGATTGTGGCCTTTTGTGTTTTTTGTGTAGGTTAACTTTATTCTTTTCCAACCTGCAGGCAGAAAAGTTTGATTTGATCTGGAACCGGGCTCAGTCCTGTCCAACAGTAAGTTTCTGGTGGTCATGTAAGGGTTGCTTATCAATGTTGCCAAACAAGTATTTTCCAACCAATCACATCATATTCCATACTGTCTCACATGTTTTAGTGCTCTGTTTACTTAATAAAGATGCTCACATGTTGATTGTACTAATAAGTGACATTTTCAGCGTTACGAAATCATGTGGGTTTGGCCCAGTAAGCGTCTGGCTTTTTAGCTCCCTACCACATCAGCCCTTTCTGATGCAGATCTTAATCTATCAGTACAAGTGCATTTTGGAAGACATCTGAGACCTTAATCTTTTCAACTTTTTTTTTTTTGCTTTTATTATTATTTTTAATTGACATAATTATACATATTTATGGGGTACAGTGTGATATTTCAATACATGTGTGCAGTGTGTAATGATCAAATCAGAATAATTAGCACATCTGTCACCTCAAACATTTATCATTTCATTGTATTGGTAACATTCAGAATCCATTCTTCTAGCCACTTGAAAATATACAATAAACTGTTGTTAATTATAGTAATCTATAGCACCATAGAATACTAGAACATATTTCTCCCATCTAGCTCTACTTTTTATCCCTTAACCAACCTTTGGCTATTCCCTCCTCTAGTAACCACTGTTCTGCTCTCTACTTCTATGAGATTAGGTTTTTTGGTTTTTTTTTTTTAGCTTCCAGCATACGAGTGAGAACATGTGGTATTTGTCTTTCTGTGCCTGGCTTATTTCACTTAACGTAATGTTCTTCAAGCTCATCCATGTTGTCACAAATGACAGAATTTGTTTTTTTTGTGTATGGCTAAATAGTATCCCATTGTGTATAGACACCACATTTTCTTTATCCTTTCATTTGTTGATGGACAGTTAGGTTGATTCCATATCTTGGCTATTGTGAATAGTGCTGTAGTAAACATGGGAGTGCAGATACCTCTTCAACATACTGATTTCCTTTCCTTTGGATATATATCCAGTAGTGGGAATGATGGATCATGTGGTAATTCTCTTTTTAGTTTTTTTGAGGAATCTTTATAATGTTTTCCATAATGGCTATACTAATTTACGTTCCACCAACAGTACATAAAAGTTCCTTTTTCTCCACATCCTCACCAGCTTTTTTTTTTTTTTTTTTTTTTTTTCTCCATTTAGAGATGAGGTCTTACCATGTTGCCCAGGATGGCCTTCAACTCCTGGCCTCAAATGACCCTCCCAACTCAGACTCCCAAAGTGCTGGGATTACAGGTTGTCTTTTTTTTTTTCATAATAGCTGTTCAAACTGGGCTGAGATGCCAGTTTTATTGGCAGTTTTCCTCACCGTTTTGGCTATGCTATCCTGGTAATATGTGCCTAAAAGGAATTAAGAGGTTGTAGCTGAAATACTGAGCTGTCAGAAGGCCTAAGGGAAAAGGAGTAGGTGGGATGGACCAGCTAACTTGGTATCAGTAATGATTTCTTAGGTTTTCAAAACATTTTTGGAAACATTGCTGAAAACAGAGACTACCTAAGTAGGTGGAAATGATATATACCATATTCATGGATTGGATGGCTCAGCTTGTTACATTTTGTTTTGTTTTGTTTTTTGAGACAGGATGTTACATTGTTGCCCAGGCTGGAGTGCAGTGGTGTGATCATAGCTTACTGCAGCCTCAATCTCTTGGGCTCAAGCAATACCCCCACCTCAGCCTTCTAAGTTGCTGGGATTACAAACATGCACCCCCATGCTCAGCTAATTTTTTTTTTATGTTTAGTAGAGACAAGATCTCACTTATGTTGCCAAGGCTGGTCTCAAAATTCCTCAGCTCAAGCAATCCTCCTGCCTCAGCCTCCCAACGTGCTGGGATTACAGGTGTGAGCCACTGTGCCTAGCCTTTGGTATTGTTAAGGTGTCACTTCTCTCCTAATTGGTCTCTAGATGAAATACAATACCATTCAAAACCCCACTAGGCATTTAAGAAATTGATGAGCTGGTTTTAAAATTTTACTTGGATATTTAAAGGACCTGAGATAGCTAAAACAATTTTGAAAAAGAACAAAGCTTGAGGACTTACATTTCCTGATTTCAAGACTTATTACAAAGATACAGTAATTAAAACAGTATGATATTGGCACAAAGATAGACATGTAGATTAATGGAACAGAGTAGAGTCCTGAAATAGACAAACATGTATGTGGTTAGTTGTTTTTCAACAAAGGTGTCAATAAATTAGAGAAAGGATAATCTTTTCAACAAATGCTGCTAAAACAATTGAAGATTGTGCACACACAAAAAAAGAACCTCTACTTTTACCTCACAGTGTATACAAAAAAGTAGATCATAGAAGTAAATGTAACTGTTGTTTTTTTTTTTTTTTTGGAGACGGCGCTTCCTTTGTCACCCAGGGTGCAATGTGTGTATGATCTCAGCTCACTGCAACCTCCACCTCCCAGGTTCAAGCTATTCTCCTGCCTCAGCCTCCCAAGTAGCTGGGATTAGCCACCACTCTGGGCTAATTTTTCTGTTTTTAGTAGAGACAATTTTTTTTTTTTTTTGAGTCAGAGTCTTCTTCTGTTGCCCAGGCTATAGTGCAGTGGTGTGATCCCTGCTCACTGCAGTCTCTGCCTCCCAGGTTCAAGCAATTCTTGAGCCTCAGCCTCCTGAGTAGCTGAAGTTACATGAGCCCACCACCACACCCAGCTAATTTTTATATTTTTAGTAGAGACAGGGTTTCACCATGTTGGCCAGGCTGGTCTCAAAACTCCTGACCTCAATTGATCCGCCTGCCTCAGCCTCCCAAAATGCTAAAATTACAGGCATGAGTCACCGCACCTGGCCCATTAAGTTGTAAAGGAAAATAAAAAAAAGAAATCTAAATTACCTTGGGTTTGACAAAGATGTCATAAGTACATTACAAAAAGTACAAACTATAAAAGAAAAAAATCACCTCGGGCAATATAGTGACACTTTGTCTCTACAAAAAAAATTTTCAAGCACCTGTCATCCCAGCTGCTCAAGAGGCTGAGGTGGAAGGAGCCCTGGAGGTGGAGGTTATAGTGAGCCCAGACTGGACAACAGAGCAAGACCATGTCTCAAAACAATAAAAATAGGCCAGGTGTGGCAGCTCACCCTTGTAACCCCAGCACTTTGGGAGGCCAAGGTGGGTGCATCAGTTGAGGTCAGGAGTTCAAGACCAGCCTGACCAATATGGTTAAACCCCATCTCTACTAAAAATACAAAAATTAGCTAGGCCTGGTGGTGTGGCCCTGTAATCTCAGCTACTCCAGAAGCTGAGGCATGAGAATCGCTTGAACCTGGGAGGTAGAGACTGCAGTGAGCCAAGGTCACACCACTGCACTCCAGGCTGGGTCACAGAGTGAGACCTGTCTCAAAAAAAAATAATAAATAAATTAGATTTCATCAAAATTAAAGCATTCTATTTGCATACCCAAATAGCTTCTACATTCATAGCAACATTAGTCACAATAGCCAAAAAGCATAAGCAGCTCAAGTTATATCAGAAACTCTTATAACTCAATAATAAGAGGACAGACAAATGGACAAAAGATTTGAACATTTTATCAAACAATGGCAGATAAGCACCTGAAAATATACTTGACAGCATTAGTCATAATGGAATCCAAATTACAACCACAGTGAGATACCATTAGAATGACTAAAATTTCAAAAACTGATCATACCAAGTGTTGGTAAGAATGTGGCACACCTGGAGCTCTCCTATACTGCTGGTCATATTGCAAAATGGTACAACTACTTTAGAAAATAGTTTGGTGGTTTCTTTAAAAATTAAGCATACACCTGCCATACTAACTAGCCATTCCATTTCTAGATATTTTCCCGAGAACTCAAAGCATATGTCCATAGAATGACTTGTGCACAAATGTTCAAGCAGCTTTATTTGTAACAACCAATGCTAGAAACAATTCAAATGTCTGTCACTAGTGCACAGGAATTGTGGAAAGAGAGAATGTGTGCATATGTGTGTGTGTGTGTGTGTGTGTGTATACATACACAATGGAATAATATTCAGCAGTAAAAAGGAATGAACTATTGATACATTCAACAACATGGTGTTTTGCAAAGGGGCCATATGTGCAAAATGACCCCCAAATGCTGAAGGAGCTGAGAAACCAAAGAAGGAGGCAGACAAATCCAATTTGTGGGTACGGGTTGATTTACTGGGGGAACTTACAGACAGAAGTGTGGCATTGAGTGGCTGCAAGACACGTAGATCTCCACGCCACAACCAGACAGACCCAATATATCTTATATCTTGGGGAAAGTATACATGCTCTGGAAGGAACGTGTAGGTGGATACAGTCATCACCGCCTGTGATTTCTGCAACGGCATCAAGGATTGTTTTGGAAGAAACTTACAGTGAATAGATGTTTCTACATAAAGAGTAATACATCAGCTAGACATTTGGGAGGCGTTCCTGGACTTGGGGTTAATCAGAAGTCACATGTTGGACTAGCATTTAAAATAAAGTCACTCTTGTTCCCACACATGGATAGATCATGAAACAATCATGCTTAGTGAAAGTAACCAAACCAGAAAAGTACTTATTCTGTGGTTCCGTTTTTACAAAATTCTACAAATGCACACTAACCCATAGTGGCAGAAAGCAAATCAGTGGTTGCTTAGGGACAGTGAGGGACAGGGAAGTATGAACTACAAAGGGCAAAGAAAACTTGGAAGTAATAACTATGTTCATTGTGTTGATTTTTATTATGGTTTCACAATACACATATGTCAAACTCATCAAATGTATACTTTAAATATGTACAATTTGTTGTATTTCAAGTGTACCTCAATAAAACTCTAAAAAAGTATTTTCCCTAGCAAGGGATCATCTGTCAGGTAGGCACTAAGTTTATCTCATCTAATAATAAAAATTGGAGCCTGAGTGGTTGGCAATAAGAAGATAATTTGTGACTAATGTGTATTGGGCTGCTTTCTACTTTTGTTTTGTTCTGGCACCATTCTTTTCTCTGCTACTCATCCCCAATTCTAAACATCTTGAGCGTAAAACTTATTTTTCGGTGTTTAGTCTGGAGCCATGCTCCAATATCAACCTCACCTAATAGAATGTGAAGTAATTACAGCAATTGGAACAAGAGCTAATTCAGCAGCATTAGAAAGTTTGGAAATTGAAACACCCATCAAAAGAAGGATAAATAGTGATAAATTTCTACAGTAGAATTCCATACAACAGTGAGATATTTATGAATTAAGAGTTATAGATATCAACATGGATAAATCTCTGAAGCATAACGTGAAGTAAAAAAGTTACAAAAGGATACATACACTTTGATAAGATTTAAGTTTTTAAACATATAAACTACTACTTTAAAAAAAAAATTTCTAAAGACAGGGTCTCACTATGTTGCCCAGGCTGGTCTCAAACTCCTGGGCTCAAGCGGTCCTCCTGCCTCAGCCTCCCGAGTAGCTGGGACAACAGGCACATGCCACCACACCCGGCAATCTTTTTATTTTTTTGTAGAGACGGGGTCTCACTATATTGCCCAGGTTGGCCTCAAACTCCTGAGCTCAAGTGATCCTCCCACCTTGGCCTTCGAAAGTGCCGGAATTACAAGTGTGAGCCACCATGCCAAGCCTGTAAACTACTACTTCTTACTTACAGTTATATACATATACATTTAAAGTATTAAAATATGAAAAAGAAGGATAGACACCAAATGCAGGATAGATGTTAACTCGGATGGGATTAGAGGGAATGCAGAGGGAACCTCAGTTGTATTTCTGATGCTGTCTTAGGTGGATTGATAAGTACATGAGTGTTTATTGCCTCATATGAATTTCTTAATTTTAAAAAAATGTTTTAGGCTGGGAGCAAGTGGCTCACGCCTGTAATCCCATCACTTTGAGAGGCTGAGGGAGGCGGATTGCTTGAGCCCAGGAGTTCAAGACCAGCTTAGGCAACATGGTAAAACCCCATCTCTACCCAAAAAAAAAAAAAGTAGTCAGGCTTAGTGGTGCACACCTGTAGTTCCAGCTACTTGGGAGGCTGAGTGGGAAGATCACCTGAGCCCAGCAGGTCAAGACTGCAATGAGCTATGATCTTTTTTATTTTATTTTATTTTATTTTTTGAGATGGAGTCTTGCTCTGTCGCCCAGGCTGGAGTGCAGTGGCCGGATCTCAGCTCACTGCAAGCTCCGCCTCCTGGGTTTACGCCATTCTCCTGCCTCAGCCTCCCTAGTAGCTGGGACTACAGGCGCCCACCACCTCGCCCGGCTAGTTTTTTGTATTTTTAGTAGAGACGGGGTTTCACCGTATTAGCCAGGATGGTCTCGATCTCCTGACCTCGTGATCCGCCCGTCTCGGCCTCCCAAAGTGCTGGGATTACAGACTTGAGCCACCGCGCCCGGCCTATGAGCTATGATCATGCCTGCACTGCAGCCTGGACAACAGAGCAAGAACCTGTCTCAAAAAAATTTTTAAATGTTTTAAAAACTAAATATGGAGGAAATGGAATGAATGTTATAGGTGGTTGGATATAGAGCAAATGATTTCATTTATTCATCCGTCTCCTTGTATATCTGTTTTTCAGTTTCTGTGTGCTCTGCCAAGAAGGGAAGGTTATGAGTTCTTTGTAGGACAATGGACAGGTACTGAACTCCACTTCACTGCACTTATAAATATTCAGGTAGGTGGCTTGTACCCTTCCTCTAGAGGAAAGAGGACTATCCCTTGGTGGGACTAGAAACCCTTGCTGAGGCTCAAGGACACAGAATATCTACTTACTCCCAGCATGTATTATTGTGGCACACTTGAATTGTCATACTTTTTGTGGTGGACTAGTTTTCTAGGCCCTCCTCAATACCTAGAAATTGGAAAAGACTCCAAAACACCTTCTCTGACTACTTCTGGTTCTCTTTTGTCTCTTCCCCAGACCTCTAGTTGCACATACTGCATGTGCCTCATTTAACAAACATGCCTGAGTTATGATGGTTATATTTTCAACCCAAGCTAGAAGCCCCTTGAGGAAAGCTCCAAGTCTTAAATGTGTTTTATTAACGAAGTCAACACCTTCCAACATGCTAAGTGAATAGTTTCTGTTTAATAAATGTTATTTTGTCTGCTTTCTTCCTTTTTTCTTTGTTTTATTTCCAACAAAACAATATTAACTTTAATTATATTTAAATGTTAGATTCAAAACATTTAAAACTTTTAAAATAAAAGTCAATATTTTAAATCATAACTAGGATTGGCATTCTATATTTGGAGGCCAAATGTGGCAAAAAACAAGCATGAGTTATATTTGCTTTGAAGTTGGGGTAAAGAATGCAAAAATGAAGGAGCAGCTTTTTACTTTGCTATTTTGTAATACATCTAACAACCTTTTATTGAGCACATACTTTAATAACCGACATTTGATGTACTTACTATGTGCCACATGTTTTATATACATTATGTCCTTTAATCCTCACAAATACGCCATGAGATACTTACTGTTATTATTTCTAATTACGTAGAAGAAAGTGGCCTCAGAGAAGTTAGTTCACACTGTCTAATAAGTGATAGAGCCAGGTTTGAGCCCAGGTTATCTGACTCCAAACTCTGTGAACTTAATCATTATGGGACTGTGTTGGAAACTGTGCTAAGACTTGGAGATCTATGAGACAAGGTTCCTGCCTTCATGGAGCTAATATTCAGGTATAGGAGAAAGAGCCAGAAACATAATTACAATAAAAGTGATTAATACAATATTAGGATGACGACCAAAATGATCAGTGTAACATTAGAAGTATGTTCAAGAAAAATGAGATGCTGAACTATTACAAGTACCCTAGTGATAGTTAGATATTTATAATTAAAAAGACTCGCTGAAATTTTAGAGATAAAGTCCAGGAATCTTCTTTTGAATGTAATTGTTTCCTCCTGTGCCATACAGGGGCTTTAGCTTTGAACCCATCCTCTCTACATAGTCTAGACTTGAGATTTAATAACCACTACTGCCCTGATCATTCTTCATAAAATTATGGTGTTTCCATCCTTCTCCCCTTCACCCCCCAACCCAGATTATATTTTAGAACTGCACATTACAAATCTGGCTCATGTGCAAACTCTCCAGCTACTGCTACAGCTTAAAAGAGCTCAGTCTTCAGAGCCAGCCAAGGGAAGTAGATTTCAGCTGTGAAATGCACTAGTCCATAAAAGTGGCAATTACACAAGCACATTGCTTTCTTTAGAACTTGATTTGGTAGCTGCTTGTGCCATTTTGTTTTTAAATGTATGGTCACAATGACAGATTCACTGCCTACTGTAAACATTTTCTGGGAAAAAAGCCAAAGCTTTTCCAGTTGAAGACACAAATAACACTGTGCAAACTGTCAGTTTCACTGTGCCTTTGCAGGCTGACCTTACCGCCACATACCAGTCCTCCAACTCACTAGCCACCCAAGGGGCTGTTAAGAGCCAGAATTTCCTCTAGACTGTCTATTGCTTTGAAATTGCAGTTTGTTGTGATGGTACCTTATTGTGCCTTGATAAGTGTTCCACCTTGCAGACCCGAGGGGAAGCTGCAGCCAGCCAGCTGATTTTATATCACTATCCTGAACTTAAGGAAGAAAAGGGCATAGTGCTGATGACTGCAGAAATGGATTCCACATTTCTGGTAAGAATTAATTTGTAAAACTCTTTGGATTTACCTCATGGCACTGAAGGTATTACTATTCTGCCAAAGCTCGTGAGAGAGAATTTCAGAGAGCTACATATACATTGTTTCTTACTTATTTTAAAGTTGACAGTAAAGTTGTCTTGCTCAAGATCTTCCAATCTGAAGTTAGTACAGATCCTCAATCATTTATTCACAATTCTGAAACCCATGGGCTCTGAGAACAAAATGTTTTTGTTCTCATTTGATCACAAAATGTTTTTGTTCTCATCTGATCACAAAACTTGAACTCATTTGGTAACTGAATCTTTAAACTGATGTGAAACTACTTATATAACTAATCCCACTTGGTGTGGTGTATTATGCATTTTACTAGGGAAATATTAATGTGTTTGAATATGGGGAGTCACATAATATACAGTTATACAGTATCTATACCTATTATCTTTCTAAAATTCAATAATTCTGAATCTAAGACACATCAGACCCTAAAGGTTTCAGATAAGGGATTGTAGACAAGTAAATTACGGCTTCTTAATTATAGGGAAGAGTTGTATGGAAGCCTGGGATAGCTCTCAATATTTTATCTTCCTTCATACTGTTCATTTGTACAACATTCATCATTTATAGTGTTTTTCTTTCCTCCTTTTCCCATTCCTAGATGAGAATCACTGAGATAGAGCATTGACCGTATGCTCATAGCTGATGGTGCCCACTGTGTTCTCTCTGCACATCCAGTTGCCAGGAGCAGTGTTGTGATTACTGTATATTGTTTATCTAGTCCTTGCTCATTTCAGCCACATTTATCTGGCAGAGGTTAAGTTCAGAATGTCCCCAAACAGTGGACACTTTCCCCTAATAGTCTTCATTACAGCACCCACTTATTTTTTCTCTTTCTCTTACCAGCTGCATAGGGAGAAAGAAGTGATATCACTCAGCTGATATCTCACAGTAGCAGTGACCCACAAACCTAGGACACAATGAGGCTTCTACTTCCCTGTTATTCTTGAAACTATTCAGTTCCATCTCTCCCATTCTTCCTTCCATGTTAACCCTTCCATTCATCACATTCAACTGAAAGTTAGTCACAATTCTGCCTGAGAATATGGAATTGCCATTAACTGAGATAGGCAAGATTGCAGGAGGAATAGGCTTGACAGGAAAATCAGGAGCTCACTTTTGGATGTGTTAAATCTGAGATGCCTATTAGTACCCAAGTAGTAGACAATTAGATATATGAGCCTGGACTTCATGGGAGAGGTCCAGGCTGGAGATGTAAATATGGGAGTTGTCAGCATACAGATTGTACTTAAAACCATGGGACTGAATGAAATCAACCAAGGATGTAAGTAAAAATAGAGAAGAGAAGAGATCTAAGAACTGAGAGAAGGGTCTCCATCCCTGGAGAGATGAAGAAGCATCAGCAAAGATTAAGAAGGAATGGCCGTGAGGTAGAAGGAAAATTAAGATAGTAGAATGCCCTGGAAGCTAAAAGTGAATGTTTCAAGGAATAGGGACTGCTCAACTCACCAAATCTCCCTTGTTTATTAGGGCAAATGAGATGAGGACTGAGAATTTACTGATTTCACAAACATGGAAGTCACTGGGGGCCTTATAAGAGCAGTTTCATAAAAGTGTGATTGGAGTAGATTTAAGAGAAGATAGAAAGACAAACTGAAGAATCAGCATAGAAACTCTTTCAAGGGGCATTTCTATAAAGGGAAGGAGAGAATGGGGTATTAGCTGGAGGTGGAGAAGTGTACCCAAGAGTATCTTTTGTTTCAAATATGAGAAAGATAACATATTTATATGCTGATGGGAAAGGTCCAGTTGAGGCTGGGCACAGTGGCTCACGCTTGTAATCCCAGCATTTTGAGAGGCCAAGGTGGGTGGATCACTTGAGCTCAGGAGTTTGAGACCAGTCTGGCCAACATGATGAAGCCCTGTGTCTACAAAAAATACAAAAATGAGCCAGGCATAGTGGCATGCACTTGTAATCTCAGCTGCTCGGAAGGCTGAAGTAGTAGGATCATTTACGCCCCAGCAGGAAAGGTTGCAGTGAGCCGAGATTGCACCATTGCACTCCAGCCTGAGCGACAGACCCAGACCCTGTCTCAAAAAAAAAAAAAGATAGATCCAGTAGAGAGGGAAATGTTGATGATACAGGAGAAAGCAGGGAGAAGTGATATTTTTGAGTGGGCAAGTCTGGTAATGAGGGGTTGATCTTTACCAGGAATAAGATAGCAGGAGAGAAGCCAGAGTGTAAGGACACTGATACAATTAGATGGATAGAGGTAGTGGTATGAGTTCCCTGCAGATTGCTCAGTGAGAAGAAAGAAAAGTTATCAGCTGAAAGCAAGGTTGGAAAAGTGTTGGACATTTGAGTCAAAAAAAGGAAGTACAAAATTGTTGTCTAGGACAAGCGTCAGCAAACTATACAGCCTATGGGCCAAATCCAGCCCACTGCTTGTTGTTATAACGCCCACGAGTTAAGAGTGTTTTCTGCCTCTTTAAATGATTAGGGGGAAAACCTTTTTTTTTTTTTTTTTGACCAGGCTGGAGTGCAGTGGCACAATCTCGGCTCACTGCAACCTCCACCTCCCAGGCTCAAGCAGTTTTCCTGCCTCAGCCTCCTGAGTAGCTGAGATTACAGGCGTGTGCCACCACGCCCGGCTAATTTTTGTATTTTTATTAGAGACAGGGTTTCACCATGTTGGCCAAGCTGGTCTCGAACTCCTGACCTCAGGTAATCCACCCACCTCAGCCTTCAGAAGTGCTGGGATTATAGGCGTGAGCCACCACGCCGGGCCAAAATCTCTTTATTCTTAAAGAAATACAGAAATTGTTTAATAATAAAAGCTATTATTAAAGAAAAATAGTATTTCAAGTTTTATTAGAACACAGCCATGTTCATTTATTTACGTATTATCTATGGTCTGAAGGAAGTTAAAGGTGAACGCAAAGAAATGATTATTGACCGTGGAATGGAAGCTGGATAATGAGGAAAGTGAAAATATAAGGGAGGTTAGAGACAGTAAGAATTATGAGTCCTAATGGGTTGTGGCAGTTGGAAGTGAGCTGGAAAGATAGGACATAATTTGACCATGCGAGTGAGTGACAATATAGAGATTGTACTATATTTTCTGGTCTTCGGCAGAGCACAGCATCTAATCATATTAAAAGTGGATCCTAGAGGTCAGAGGAGGCCCATTCTGCTGTTTGCCATTTTTACCACCCCACTCTGGTGGTCTCAAACTGCTGCAATTGTTAAAATTTGCTTCCTGGCCTTTTAACATTTGACAGCATATAAGACAATACATATTTGCCTTGTATAAATCAGCTTGACTGTGAGGTTCCAATGTAGTATAGAACTAGACATGTTCGAACTTGTTGTACGTGACTTAGAGAAACTTAGAAGTATAACATGAATATATGATCCCCTGTATACCCACACATGAACTGTGCACTTTAGGCATAGTATTTCCAACTGTGGTAAAGCATTAATGTCAAATGAATCGACATACATGGAGACTAGAGATTTCTTCCAAACTAACTAACTTTAATGCTAAAAACTAATGGAATATTTAAAAACCTAGCTTTATTTGGCTCCACATCTATGTCAATGGATGATTTCACTGAAATGCAGTAAGTGCTAGGATAGACATGCAGAAGGTTCTAGGGATAGAGAGTGGGGCGGTATCCCTGGGCCAAAGGGAGTAATATTTCCTGGGGATGACACCAGACTGAACCTTCAAATAGCAGGAGTTTAGCCTGATAAAGAAGGGGAGAAATGTTTCAGACAGAGGGAATAGCATAAGGAAACACTAAGAGACATAAAATGACTTGGAGTATTGTAAAGAGTTTGGTATCACTTGTGTGTGTATGTATGTGTCTGTATATAAGGTTTGGTGGTTTGCGTTTAGAGATTTGGCTTTACCCTGAGGGCATGAAAAGAGTCATTAAAGGGTTTGAACAGAAAAGAACCCATAAAGAGTTGGATTTTAAGACCTAGCCTATTAATTATTAACCTTAATTATTTGCTTCCTAAACATTCTGTAGTTCAAGTCTAGTCAGTATGATAATTTAGAAGTCAGTTGCAATAGTCTGCACAAGAAGTGGTGAAAACTTGAACTACAGCAGTGGTAGTAGAGACGGAGGAAAGAGAATGACCCCAGGAATACGTAGGGAATAAAATAGGCAGGACTTGGTGCGTTGATTGTAGATTTGAAAATTGAAAGGGAGGAATCAAGTTTGTTAAAATACCTCTTTATTGAGCAGCACAGGGAGTTAGTATATTTATCTTATTGGGTCTTGGAAAAGGAGGAGACTGTTGCTTCATGTTGAGAGCCAAGAGAATAAAAGGCAGGGGGAGAATAAGGGCTGGTGGGGGTTGCCTTTCTATAACCCTCCATGAGAGATAGACATCTCTCCCTGTGTCTTACCTTCCTACTCACTGTACTAGTGGTCTTCAAACTTCTTTTTTTTTTTATTTCATCCAGGCTGGAGTGCAGTGGCTAGATCTCAGCTCACTACAAGCACTGGGTTCCTGCTGCCTCAGCCTCCCGAGTAGCTGGGACTACAGGTGCCCACCACCACGCCCGGCTAATTTTGTTTTTGTATTTTTCGTAGAGACAGGGTTTCACCATGTTAGCCAAGACGGTCTCAATCTCCTGACCTCGTGATCCGCCTGCCTTGGCCTCCCAAAGTGCTGGGATTATAGGCGTGAGCCACCACACTCGGCCCAAACTTCTTTTTAAAGTAGTAGGAAGACCCCTTTATCCAAACAAAATCTTACTATGTAAAACCCCAGGATATGACAGCTAAAACAGAGGTGAAGGGACCTGAGGCACCTCCACAGAGCCCCGAGGACTCTACAGGATAGTTTGAACACCAGTGTTCTAGGTGAACACAGCTGAACTTACTCCTGCCTTCACCACCCCAAGCTTCAGGTAAAAGTTGATGTCAGAGGCCCTGTAGCCCAGGGACTGAGAGAGTGGTGGTATCCTCAGATTATAGCAGTGCACTTGCTTTAGAAATGATTTGCTCTTGAGGCATGTGTGAATTTAAGAAAGGTAAAATAGATGAAGTATTTATTGGCCTTAATCAATCTTAATTATCTTGCCCTACCAGAAACAGCAGGATGAATTGAGGGGAATACCAACCAGGGAGTCTAGAGGTCTAGTCCTGACTGTGACCTTGGCTGGCCACTTGACCTTGAGCCCATCCCTGAACTTCATCCGCCTTGGTTTCCTAGCCTATTAAATGAGAACTGGGTGATCTCTGAGGTCCCTTCTAGCTCTAAAATTCTATTAATTTGAAGTAGCCAGCTTTTTGGGAAAAGATTTTTGATTGAAGATGCAGTCTCAGAGATTAGTGCCTGCTCATGAGAAATGTCCTGAAAGTCCCACAGAGGGAACAGAGGTGGAGCACAGCCTATGTTATTTATAAACCTGTCTTCATCATTCTCTAGCTAGACATAGCATACTTTTGGCAGTAAGTTTTTAGTGGGAATTTTCCATGACCTTTTGAGGTTTAATTTTGGCCATATGAACACAGTGATAATGGACAAGTACCTCTGGCCAACTAGAACTGCAGAATGTATAGCAAAAGTAAGAGATGTCTGAGGTGACTCATTTGCAAAGTTTGAGAGTGTAGCCTATGTTCTAACCCCCATCTCTCATTTTTTAATTTTTATTTTTATTTAATTTTTTTTTAGAGATAGAGTCTTGCTCTGTTACCCAGGCTAGAGTGTACTGGCATGACCATAGCTCAGTGCAGCCTCCAGCTCCTGGGCTCAAGCGATCTTCCTGCCTCAGCCTCCCGAGTAGCTAGGACTACAGGCTCATGCCACCACATCTGGCTAATTTCTCTGCCTCTGTCATGTAGAGTAGCCTGCTCACCATTTCTCTGCTACTGAGCTTTAAAGAAGGTGGCCCATTCTCTTCCCTGAACCTTTGCTGATGTATTAGTTATAAATGGCTGCATAACAAATTACTACAAAACCTAGTGGCTTAAAACAAGAAACATTTATTACCTCACAGTTTCTATAGTAGCAGCTTAGCTGAGTGGTTCTGGCTCAGAGTCTCACAAGGTTGCTGTCAAGATGTTATCTAGGGGTACAGTCATCTGAAGGCTGATTGGGCTTGAGCATCCACATCCAGCCCCACTCATATGGCTCTTGGCAGAGGCCTCATGTTTTCATCATGTTTCTCCATAGGGCTGCCTGAGTGTCCTCACTACATGGCAACTGACTTTTCCCAGAGCAAGAAAATTAGCAAGAGAGAAGTTACAACCTTTATGGCTTGATAGCAGAAGTCATTGTCCATCATTTTTCATTTTTTCAAAGTCCTTTCTTTTTTTTTTTAAGGAGAGAGGGACTCACTACATTACCCAGACAGGCTCAAGCAGTCCTCCTACCTCAACCTCCTAAGTAGCTTGGACTACAGGCTCACACCAATGCCCCCAACCATTTTGTCATAGTCTACTTGTTAGAGGGAAGTCATTGAGTATAGCCCTCACTCAAGGAAAGGGAAATTAGGCTCCATCAAAGGGAGGAGTATCATAAAATTTGTGGGCAAATTTTAAAACCATCACAGCTGGCTCTGGGAGTACTTTTCTGACCAAGGTAGTATCATAACAGGTTTTATTCAAGTGTATATCTGGTTAGTCAAGAACTCAGTTCTCACTCACAAACTGGTTCTTAGAGCTGGGTAACTATTGCTCTCTTATTTCCCCCTTGAGATATATTTAACAGTTATTAAGGAACTGGATGAAGAGAAATAATGTGAACATGCACATTAATTTATTCAGTAAACATTTACCAGATGTCACTCTGCAGAGATATAAAACAAACCAGTCTATGTCTTTGAGGAATTTGTACTAGGGAAAATAGACAAAAAAAGAAAAGGAAAAATACAATACAGTGTGATAAATACTATGATAGTGGTAAGCACAGGATGATTTGGTACACAGAGAAGGGGCACCTAACCAAGACTAGGGACGTCAAGAAGTTAGGGAAACTTTCTGGAAGTGGTGACTCCTGGGCGAGGGCCCCCACCCACCACACAACTCAGACAAGAGCTTTGTGACTCTGTGCAAGAAAGGACCTCATTATTCTTTTTACCTTACAGAATGTTGCTGAGGCACAGTGCATTGCCAACCAAGTTCAGCTCTTCTATGCTACTGATCGGAAAGAGACCTACGGGTTAGTGGAGACCTTTAACCTCAGACCAAATGAGTTCAAATATATGTCTGTCATCGCTGAATTGGAGCAAAGCGGGCTTGGAGCAGAACTGAAATGTTCCCAGAACCAAAATAAGACTTAGAACTGTACAAGTTGGCCCTTCACCTAGTAGACTCAGCCCTCGATAGTCTAGAGCCCACCCCCTCCTCAGGAACTCAAGAGCTCAGCATTTATAATGAGCAATTGGTAATTAGTTGCCCTGTGTGCTTATCACAAGCAGTCATGGAGATGAGCCCTATTAATTGATGTTCAGGAACGAAGGTACCTAAACATTCTGATAATTATCTCAGCATACTTGAGGTTTCCTTTATTAAGTGTTCGAGGTTATAACAAGAGACAGACAAGGACCTATAAGACAGTTGACTTGGTTTTGCACAGTGTAACAGTGCAGTTGCATTCTGGCCACTTTGACCTCATAGCTCCTAAATGATCAGTTTATCATTTTTATGAACTCATGACAGGATAATAAGGTTGAAGACCTGCTGTAGTTAGATAGGGGCTTTAATGCTTCCCATGCACCGGTCATCTGGACAAAAGCATAAGCCAAACATCCTGTTTAAACTGTAGAATAACCAGATATTCCCATCAGGATAAAGACTTCATCTAGATGATGCCCCTCAGAGATGCCTTTAGTGTAGCTGGCTTGGGGTATCAGCAAATTTGAGGTATAGTTAGATAAACGGTACAGGGTCTGCATACTGTTAAACCATAGTTTGTGGCACCCACTTCTCTAACTCCACCTGTTAGAAGCTATGTGTTTGAAGGAATAAATCAGTGCAGTGTAAATAAAATGCTTTTGTAAGGAGAAGATTAATCCAGGTTTGCATGATTTTTTTAAAAACAACTCTAAACATGATACAAAAAAGTGGGTGAAAGTAAATGTTCCCAGAATGGATGTGGGGAAAATATAGCAATAATTTTTTTTTTAAAGTTTGGCTTACAATGTTTGTTATACAAAATAATGAAATCTAAGTTATGTACTGTCTGTAGTATCAGGGCTATGGGCTGATTTTATCAAAACTCATCTTGGGACTGAACAATTGCTTGGAATACTAGAAATAAGAAAGTTGTTCTCCAGAGCTGGAAACCCATCTTTTGTTTGTAATGTCACTGTTGTGGCTCCAAGCTCAGTGATAGGAAAGGACGGTGGTTACACACCAGCCTTCTGAACCCAAGGCCCCCAGTATTGTTGTCAGCTGCCTTTACTGTGGCATTTCTTTCTCTTTCTTTGTTTCCTGAGATGAAGTCTCACTCTGTCTTGCCCAGGCTGGAGTACAGTGGCACAATCTCAGCTCGCTGCAACCTCTACCTCCCTGGTTCTAGCAATTCTCCTGCCTCAGCCTCCCGGGGAGCTAGGATTACAGGCGCATGCCACCATACCTGGCTTATTTTTGTATTGTTGTAGAGACAGGGTTTCACTATGTTGGCCAGGCTGGTCTTGAACTCCTGGCCTCAAGTGATCCACCACCTTGCTCTCCCAAAGTGCTAGGATTACAGGTGTGAGCCACCGTGCCTGGCCTGACATTTTTTTATTGATCTAACGTGCTCCACTCTGCTGTTCCTGCCTAAGATCTGGTTGTATGACACTGAATGTGGTGAGTGGGAATTTAAGCAGTATTTGCAGCTTGTGTCTGTGTGTTTTCTTCCTTCCAGAAGAATTTTTATAGGTGGAGCCTGTCCCTAAGCTCTTAAAATAGGATAGACCTCCCACTGTTCTCTGAGCTGTGTCTATTTTATTGCACCTTTGAGTCTATGTATTGAGAGAGACAGTATTTTTTTTAAACTGGGGAAGCTGCTATCCTTTCACTATTTCTCTAAAGGTTGAGCTGTTAACTAATGCAAATTCTGGACCTGCTTCTGGTCCTGGCAGTTTATCTTTTGAGAAACTTGAGTCTTATCTGCCCTGCCATTTTCATTAAATGCCTTCTGACCTTCTGAATGTTTTGGGTCCCAAGAATTTTTGACATCAGATGGGGTCGTTTTTATGGGTATCCAGTTATGTTTGCCTGTCTTTCCAGATGGACCCAGTTATTAGCCATATATAATACATTGTTACACCTCCACCAGCGGGTAAGGAAATGATGGAGAAAGGAGTAAGAAATGGCTACTCGTTTTAATCATTCCTCCTGGATTTGCCCTCAGTCCCTAACTGCCAAGTAGGATGTGTCCATGGATAATTATGTTGGCCTGACTAAAGTACCATGTAGCTGTTCTTTATATTTATTTACATAGAAAGATCTGGCAAAGAACTCAAAGAAAATTGTACCATTTAATCAATAAATTTGTCCCCTGGTGCTAGCATGGTGTTATAGAAAGTGGACAGGCTTTAGAGTTAAGTGAATCTGGGTTCATATGTTAGTGTTATTATTCATTAGCTCTCTACTGTTGAACAAATTGCTTAAACTATCTAATTCGGGGGGTGTTCCATCTAAAATAGGGATAATAATATCTACCTCATAGATATTATTCTCATAGGATTATTGTGAGAATTAAACTAACTTCACTACAGTAGAAAATATCAACTACCATCCTTTTCTCTACTTCCCCTGCCCCTCATTAAAGACTAACACAAGTTAGCATTTCAGATGTGTAGATCATTCTTTATTCCAGTTAAAAGAACAAACTTTATCTCATCAGTTCTGAAACTTTAAGATGCAGTAGCATCACCTAGAATGCTTTTAAAATGCAGATTCTCAGGCATCAACCGTACACCCCCCACCACACACACACACACACACACACACACACACACACAATCAAGAATCTGTGCAGAAGGCACTGGGAATCTACTTGTTAATATGTGCTCCAGATGATTCTGATGTAGGTAATTAGCCAGCCACACTTTGAGAACCATTGCCTTATTTATTCTTTACAAAAATGTACATTGCCAGGTCTTTCTTTCCTGTGGATGCTAACTATAGGATATTTAGGTTCCTCTGTTCTTTGTCTCCCATAGTGGCCCCCTTTGCAAACTCCAAATACATTATATTTATTTATTCTTGTGTCTTTTTTCCCCCACTAGACTGTGAGCTCCTTGAGGGCCAGGATTTATCTCTGTTCCCAGTGCCAAGGACATGGCCTGGACCATAGAAGATACTCAGTTTTTTGTTGAATAAATAGGTAATATGGATTTCAACCAAAACATTGTCTTGTGTATGTACCTACATGTAAATACACTAGATTTAAAAGAATCTCTTAATACACATAGATCGAGAATTTGTTGAGTAGGAATATTTGCAAACCAAGATACCAAGTTATACACAGTCTCTGTACCTCACAATCCACTGGCATCACCTCGGTGGACCATTACACAGTACAACTTAACAGTTGCTCACAGAGCATCTATTCTGCAGCCACTATGTTAAGTGCTGGACACAGAAAGATGAGTAGGTATGATTCCTGCTCTCAAGCTGTGTTTTAGCCACTGCCTGTTTCTCTCTTGCCTGATTCAATGCCTCACACCAACACCTGATTATAGTTTGCTTTGTCTAGTTCTTGGATGTTCATACTGGTACTTCTTTCTTCTCCAACCAGTTTGGAAGCTGGAGCCACATATTTGGTTTTGCACTCTCCATACTGACCTTTTGTTCAGTCTTGGAGAAGAGGTACTAATGCCCACTTCCTAGTCATTTGATTTGGCATTGAGTCAGCATTCATTCACTTACTGAGCACCTGTTTGCCAAGCACTGTTATTAAAAACTGGATAATATAGCAATGAACATGGCAAATAAGGCCCCTGTTCTCATGTAGTTTATATTCTTGTAAAGAAGACAAGTAAACCAATAAAATTATTTCACATACTGGTAGTGTTATGAAAATTAAAAAATAATATTATAGACTATGGAGTGGAGGCAATGACTTAATGGTCAGGAGAGGCATCTCTGCAGCAGTGGCAGCTGATACATGAGCTGGGGAAAGAGAACCAGGTAAAGAGAACAGCAAGTGTTAAACACCCTGGAGCAGAGCCAAGCTAAGAATGCTTGTTTCTGGACAGATACAAAGATTCAGTATCTACCCTTTAGGAGCCCACAGTTCAGCGGCATGACCTGACATGAATGATTACAATACAAGACATATCGATCAATGCCATCTCAGAAGAGGCAAAGAGATTTAAGGAACTCTCCCACATGCTATGGAGGATGCAAAGCTTGCCAGTCTCTGGTACCCACCCAAGAGGCACTTATGGCTTAATGGGGAATAATGGGTAGACAGTGTTAAAATCTCAAAGGCCATGTGTTTCTTGCAAGAGACAAGAGGTACTCTGGGTTCGGTGCTGGCCTCCCAAGCTGCAGTCACGTACTACATAACAATGTTTTGGTCAAGTGGAATTGCATATGCAACTGTGGTCCCATTAGATTATAATGGAGCTGAAAAATTCCTATTGCCTAGTGACATCATGGCTGTAGTAATGTTATAGCACAATGCATTACGTATTTGTGGTGATGCTGGTGTAAATCTGTACTTCAAGTCCTATAAAAGTATAGTGTATAGGGGCCGGGTACAGTGGCTCACACCTGTAATCCCAACACTTTGGAAGGCTGAGGCAGGTGGATCCCTTGAGTTTAGAAGTTCGAGACCAGCCTGGACAGCATAGCGAGACCTCGTTTCTACAAAAAAATTTAAAAATTAACTGAGCGTCGTGGTGCACACCTGTAGTCCCAGCTACTCAGGAGGCTAAGGTGGGAGGTTCACTTGAGCCCAGGAGGTTGAGGCTACAGTGAGTTGGGATCACACTACTACACTCCAGCCTGGATGACAGAGCAAGACCCTATCTCAAAAAATAAAAAGGTATAGTGCATAAAATTATGTACAGTACATAATGCTTGATAGTAGTAAATGATTATTACTGGTTTATGTATTTACTACACTTTATCATTTAGAGTGTGCTCCTTCTACATATAAAAAATACTAAGTCAATTGCAAAACAGCCTCAGGCAGGTCTCTCAGGAATTATTCCAGAAGAAGGCCTTGTTCTTATAGGAGAGGACAGCTCCATGTGTGTTATTGCCCCTGAGTACCTTCCAGTGGGATAAGATGTAGAGATGGAAGTCAGTAATGTTGATGATCCTGACCCTGTGTAGGCCTAGGCTAATGTACGTGTTTTTGTCTTAGCTTTTAACCAAAACATTTAAAAAGTGAAAAATAAAATTTTTTAATAGAAAAAAGCTTATAGAATAAAGATAGAAAATATTTCGTATAGCTATGCAGTGTGTTTGTTTTAAGCTAAGTGTAATTATAAAATAGTCAAAAAGTTTTAAAAATTAAAAGGTTTATAAAGTTAAAAAGTTACAGTAAGCTGAGGTTATTAAAGAAAGAAAAATATTTTTATAGATTTGTGTACAGTGTTTATAAAGCCTACTGTAGTATACAGGAATGTCCTCCTCAGTCTTCACATTCACTCAAAACTCACTCACTGACTCACCCAGAACAACTTCCAGTCCTGCAGACTCCATTCGTTGTAAATGTCTTATACAGCAGGATCATTTTTTATCTTATACTGTATTTTTACTGTACCTTTTCTATGTTTAGATATGTATAGATAAGTATTTACCATTATATTACAGTTGCCCACAGTATTCAGCACAGTAATATTCTGTACAGGTTTGCAGCCTAGGAGCAATAGGCTATATACCATCTAGGTTTGTGTAAATACATCCTATGATGTTTGCACAGCAACCAAATCACCTAATGATACATTTCTCAGTGTAGTCCCCACTGTTAAGCAACGCTTGACTGTATACACATTAACAATAACCACTAAAAAAGAACAAAAACAAAACACAATAACCAGTAGCATTTACTAAGGGCTGACCGTATACCAGGCACTGTACTAAGTCCTTACATGGCTTATCTCAATCCTACCAACCCTATGAGGTTGGCAGGAACCTGCTGGTCGGTGACATGTGCTGCTCTCTCCTTGTACCCTCCTGCCCCAACTCCAGTTCAGAAAAGAAAGCAACCAGCCAGGCGCAGTGGCTCACACCTGTAATCCCAACACTTTGGGAGGCCAAGGTGGGCGGATCGCTTGAGACCAGGAGTTAGAGACCAGCCTGGTCAACGTAACGAAACCCCGTCTCTACTAAAAATACAAAAATTAGCTGGGCATGGTGGCACACACCTGTAATCCCAGCTACTCAGGCTGAGGTACAAGAATCACTTGAACCTGGGAGGTAGAGGTTGCAGTGAGCCCAGACTGGGCCACTGCACTTCAGCCTGGGTGACAGAGTGAGCCCCTTTCTCAAAAAAAAAAAAAAAAAATAAGTCATGGTTGGCTCTGGAACCAGCCCTGAGAAACACGTCTTCCAATTTTCTTGCTGGTAACTAAAGAACAAAATGCATGCATTATGTACCTCTGATTCCTCCAGACAATTTTGCAAGACATCATGTTCTAACTAGGGAGGACTTCTTTTGGAGAACTTTGGTCTTGTCAATTCTTCTGATGTGACAGATTGATAACAACATCTTTATCCTTGTTCTGCTAAAAGGGAGAGTTGGAGCACAGAAAGGGAAGAGATGACTTCAAGGTTGCTGTCTGCATCAGGAGCCAACCCAGGAATAGATGACTGCCCATGCTCCACACTTAATAGGATCATTTGTAATGTCCACTGAGCTGGCTCATTCTTCACATTCACTTGAACAGGGCTACTTCTGAGGTCTTCAGGCTTTAGGAACTGGAATATCTACAAGAAAAATTAGTTCAAACCACTTATGAATCGTGACAGGTTCCCCAGAGCTTTCAGGACAAAGTCCTTTTAGATCAGCTCACAGGAGCTTCAGGATCCAGTGCGTGGTGTCTTCTCCAGGCTCATTTTGTGCCTCTCCTACCCACTCCTTTGGCTCCAGCCATTCTGGATGACTTGCAGTTCCCTAAACACATTGTGCTCTTCCTACCTCTGTTCTGCTCTTTTCAAATACATTTGCCTGCTTCAAATACCTATTCCTCCTTAAGTTAATTCAAAGCTTCACTGTAGTATCTCTATGAGAAGCCTTCCCTGAGACCTATTCCCTTCCACATGGCCCCCCTGCAAGCCTGGCTTCCCCACCAGACTGAATAGCCCTTGGAGACTGGGATCATATCTTACTGGACATTATATTCCAAGTGTCCAACACAAGACCTGGTAGAGAGGGATAAGATACTCTGTGGATGCTGAATAAACTCCGTTTGAGTGACCACTAAACTCAGACCACCCAAGTCTACAAATATCGCTTGCAAAGTGAGATCCAGCTCTGACAAACACATTGTGGTTATGTCCCAGCCCAAGACAGTGGTCATTTTGCTTGCTCTTATTGCAGAGGCTACATGTGGAAAACCAAGCCAAGGGGTGAACAGAGAAGGCAGTCAGGTCCAGGGTTTGTAAGCAGAAAGAACTGAGAGATGATGATGAACAAACTTTTGGAGCAAAACAATTAAGTACCAGGCTGTCACTTTCAAATTCTTGTCTTGCCTTGCCAAACCTTAACATTAAAAAAGACCTGGTTGGGCGCGGTGGCTCACGCCTGTAATCCCAGCACTTTGGGAGGCTGAGGCGGGCGGATCACGAGGTCAGGAGATCGAGACCATCCTGGCTAACATGGTGAAGCCCCATCTCTACTAAAAATACAAAAAATTAGCCAGGCATGGTGGCGGGCACCTGTAGTCCCAGCTACTCAGGAGGCTGAGGCAGGAGAATAGTGTGAACCCGGGAGGCGGAGTTTGCAGTGAGCCAAGATTGCACCACTGCACTCCAACCTGGGGGACAGAGCAAGGCTCAGTCTCCAAAAAAACAAAAAAGACCTTACAGGCTAAGTGTGGTGGCTCATGCCTGTAATCCTAGCACGAGGTAGGCGGATCACCTGAAGTCAGGAGTTCGAGACCAGCCTGGCCAACATGGTGAAACCCCATCTCTACTAAAAATACAAAAATTAGCCAGGCATGGTGACAGGAGCCTGTAATCCCAGCCACTCAGGAGGCTGAGGCAGGAAAACTGCTTGAACCCGGGAGGGGAGGTTGCAGTGAGCCAAGATCGCGCTATTGCACTCCAGCCTGGTCAACAAAGTGAGACTCTGTCTCAAAAAAAAAAAAGGTTGAGGGACGGCCGGGCGCAGTGGCTCACACCTGTAATCCCAGCACTTTGGGAGGCCAAGGAGGGCAGATCACCAAGT